GAGTGCAGTGTGTGGGTGGATGGGGCTGCACAATTTCATGCTCTGGGCTTCTAGTTAGTATATAATATGCACTGTATACATACATATATTGTATTGTATTATATTGTACTAGGGGCCCAGTGCACAAATTCATACACCTTGAAAAGAACTATGGGCCATGAGGCTGCAGTGGGCATAGGGGCGGGTCTTGGCCCATCCTCCACGCCCCCGCTCAGACCCTCCCACCTTGGCCCCTGGTCCCTTGCTTGCCAGCAGCCCCACTCCTGCTGCCGCTGCTCCCATGCACTGATGTTGCCAGCCCTGCTCGCACCCGCTGATGGCATGGAGCTATCGGGGCCAGTGTAAGCAGCGTGTGTGAGCAGCACTGTCAGTGGGTGCAAGTGGTGGGTACTGCTCTGACTGCCCCTCAGGAGCATGGGGAGGTGGAGAAGGCCTCAGGGGCGATTGGGGCTGGCAGCCACAGCTCGCACCCATGTGCAGCACCAAGTGATTGATACCAGCACCAGGCGCTGGCAGCAGGTGCTAGTGGCTGTTCCGGCACTGGCTGTGGGTGTGAGCAGCAGCTCCAATGCTGGCAATGGGTGCAAACAGGGCCATCACTGGCAGTGGATGCAAGAGGCGGCTGCCAGCCCAATCACCTCTTAGGGCTTCTCCACCTCCCCCTGCTCCTGAGAGGAGATTGGGGCGGGCAGCCACCACTCACACCCACTGCTGGCAACGAGTGATCAGGGCCAGCACTGGGCACCGGCAGCAGGTGTGAGCGGGGCTGGTTCTGACAGCAGGTGTGAGCACTGGGCAGGACTGCAGCATGCAGGAGCAAAGAATTTTCAGTAAACACCAGAGGCTTACCTGATGACAGCAACTGGCGCCCCGCCTTGGTCTGGCGCCCCCACTCACCTGCTCCACTATCCTGCCATGGCCAACTCCCACCATGTTCCATGCTCTGCCACCTGCAGCCGATGCCTGCCATGTTCTGCACAAGCCCCCTGGCGGTCAGCGCACATCATAGCAACTAGTTTGTTTGGTTGTTCTGGCATTTGGTCTATTTGCATACTAGGGTTTTATATAGAGAGATTGTATATAGTTTCTCATCCTGTTTTATCACTTCAAATATTTTTTAAAATTTTCTGCATTAGGACATATTCTTCAAAATATTACTTTTTTCATTGTTGCATAATATTACACTATATGAGTGTACCATAATTTATTTATTTAGAAATAGAATAATATTGTGATGATCATTCTTATACATATGTTTTCATGGAAGGATCTGATTATCCTGCTAGGATATATTACTAGAATCAAAATCACTGATCAAAAAATATAGTATTTTTAAGGATCTTAATCCATATTGACAAATTTCCTCTAGTTGTACCTAATTTACACTCCTCCAGCTGGTATGAGTACCAGCTTCACTCTACCCTTATCAATGTTGGATGTTATACTTTAAAAAAAAATCTTTGTCATTTGCATACATAAAGAACTTAGTAGTATGACATTGATTAATAGGATTATATAGGTGTCAGGCATACAATTCTATGATGCATGATTTGTATATTGCATTGTGTGCACACTACCCAAAGTCAAACCAACCAAAGTCGAACCATCTTCTGTCACCATATATTTGGCCAACTTTACGCCCCCTCTCTTCCCTCTGGTAGTCATACTGTTGTCTGAGTTTATGAGTTTCAGTTTTATATGCTACATATGAGTTAAATTACCTGTATATGGTTCTTACCTTTTTTTGACTTTGCTTAGCACAATATTCTCTACATAATATTCATGTTGTTGTAAATGGCGATATTTCTTCTTTTCTTATGGCTGAGTAGTATTCCATTGTATATGTGTACCACATGCTCTTTATCCAGACCTCTATGGAAGAATACTTTGGTTGTCTCTATGTCTTGGCCACCATGAATAATGCTTCATGAACATAGGGGTACATATATGTTTGTGAATAAATGTCTTTGAGGTTTTAGTTTAGATACTTTATTTTTTTAAAGGATATTATTTTAACTTGCATTTCTTGAATTGAGTTGGTTAAATATGTTTTGGGCCAATTTTATTTTTTCATATGTAAACTGCATATTCCCTTTGCCTATTTTTTATATTTCTATGTTTATCTCTTTTCTTATTGATTTACAAGAAATATTCATATACTGTAGGTCTTGACATTCTATAAAAAATGACCTACACTGTTTGAAACTATCAAGATCATGAAGTAACTACAGTGGGGCCTTGACTTACGAGTGTCCCGACTAATGAGTTTTTCGAGATACAAGCCGTCTCTGGGCTGATTTTTTGCTTTGAGTTGTGAGCTAAAATTCAGGTTACGAGCCAGCTTCAGATACCCCACCACTAGTTGGTGCACTGAACGTCACAGTGAACGCCACATCAGCCCAGCATCACGTGTCTCACTGGTTCACTTTTTGATTTGACATACGAGTAATTTGAGTTACGAGCTTTGTCATGGAACTAATTAAACTCGTAAGTCAAGGCCCACTGTATCTTCATTTTCCTTCGGCTCAACTAAATCTCGATGTCTCTAGTTCATCTGTCTTGATCAATTTGATCTATGATAATGTCCACCATCCTAAAGAGCTACAGCATTTAAACCTTACTTTGTTTATTTTTTACTGAGCAAATACCTCCTCTCCCCCAAACAAATATACCCTGTTTGAGGGTATATGTACCTTTTGGCATCTTCTGCATGATAAGGGTTCTATTAACTCTAGCACCTATTCTCTTCTCATACTCAAAGAACCTGAGGTACATTTAAAAATATTTTTATTGATTTAAGAGAAGAATGAAGAGGGAGAGGGAGAAAGAAACATCAATGATGAGAGAAAAATCATTGATCAGCTGCCTCCTCCACACCCCACACTGGGGATAGAGCCTGCAACCCGGCATCTGCCCTGACAAGAAAAACTGTAGTTTAAGGCTATTTAAGAATGATTATCTTCCCTTAGGCCTGGATTTCTAGAATTCCAGAAAGCTGTGGCTATTTGCTACAAAAATTGGTGATAGTGGGGGAGGGGGAGAGCAATTTTACTATGGCTAGGCGTGGCTTATGCCACCTTAACTAAGAGATCAAAGCTAACATCACTAGTAATAAGATATATCTATATCTATATATCTATGTCTATATATCATCTATCTATCTATCTATCTATCTATCTATCTATCTATCTGTCTATCATCTATCTATCTATATTTCTGAGATGATGCCTGAGAAAGGCAAACGTCACTTCAGTGGTATTTATGCTGAAAATACATACCTGAATCTAATCACGAGTATCTATCAAACAATCCAAATTGAGAGAGCTTCTACAAAATGACATCCTAAAAGACAATAAAAGACAGGAACTTCCACAGATTAGAGGAGACTGAGGAGACATGACAATTTTTAAATCTTTTTTGTTAATTAGTTAATTAAATACAGTGTCGGATTCTGGATTAGATCCTGGATCAGACAAAGGACATTTGGGCAAACTAGTAAAATTCAAATAAGCCCTTTAGCTTAGTCAATAGTATTGTAGCAGTGTTAATTTCCTATTTTTGATAATTGTACTGTGGCTATTTATGTAAGATAATAACATTAGAGAAAGTCAGGGGAAAGGTATACAGAAATTTTCTGTACGCTTTTTGTAACTTCTACGTAAATCTAAAATTATTTCAAAATAAAAAGTTGAAAAATTGAGGAAAAGAAAGATGAATTAAATTCTATATGTTGGAGAAAAAAGTCCCCTATATTTTCCATGGAGAAAAAAAATAAGTTCCCAAATTTCAAGGATCACATCAATCATTTCCACTCACCAACATGGTCACTTTTACCTTTATAATATGTATGTAATCTAGGATGCCTTTCAGGATGCGGAAGAGTCATTAGCTGCTGTTGGAGAAGCTATATTCAGTGGTATACAGCAGTCATTCACTAAACAGACATGCCAAGTGCTGACAATACAAGGATGAGCAAGATAAATAGATCCTGGTCTCCTGGAATTTCCCGTCTTATTAACAAGGAAGATAAAATCAGAAATTATTGGGGTTTTTTTGCAAAAATTGGAAGACAGACTTCTCAGTATGAAAAGGCTGTGGGAGAATGGAGACTTACGTCACAAAGCGATCTGTTACAGAAGTTGGAGAAGGTAAGGCCATGGTGTGTTAGTGTGCTGTTGATGTGTAAATGCAGACCATTAATCCATGCTTAAGAGGTTGAAGGGCAGAAGCAGAAAACTGGATCACAGGAGAGAAAAGTCACCAGAAAGGGGAGTAGACTGACAGGAACGAGTGAAGGGGAGGAAGGACAGAAATGAAGACCGTTGCAGTCAGCTTATATAATATGATATAGGCCGCAGCATCATTGCAAATTTAAACACAAAAACGCAAGAAAGTTGGAGGAGTGTTAAGCTAAGATTGATTTCAGGTGGGTGTGAAGAGCTCAGGGGAAAAGATTGGGGATGGGAGACACGCAGGAGGAAAACATCAAATTGGGGACTACTGAACACGGGAATAGTACATGGACTCTTCGACCAAGGAAAACTGATCACCTACAAGTTTCAGAAACCTCGAGGAAGAGGAAGGACCGCGTGGGAAGTGAGAAGGTCGGAGCTGTGCCTGCGCGGCTGTGTGCGCACCCGGGCGCTGCGGGCTCAGGGGCGTG